TACCCCTGGATTGTTCCTAAATGTTCACTATTATAATTATACTTCCCCACCCCATTGATGTTGAATTTAGACATATGTCTTGATTTGGCCAGTGGAATGTTAAACAGAGGCTTTAAATATATTTGCATGGTTTGGCTTGCCCTCTTGAACTCTTGTGATTGGCCATGAGCAGAATATGCTCTAGTTGGCTGCTGGTCTAGGTGAAGAAAGAAAGGTGGAATAAACCTGAACCCAACCCACAATTAGGAGCTAAGTTTGGCTGATTTCTGATTAGTTCAGTAGAGCCACAGCTGACCTTCAGATTCATGAACAAGACAATAAATGTTTGCTATTGTAAGTCATTAACAGTCTGAGGGTGTTATGCATTAAAATCTGAAAACTACAGAAATTGATATGCAGAAGTAAGATGCTGTCCTAACAAAACCTAAACTTTGTCATAGTCATTGCTTTTGTGACTGGATAGTAGGTAATTAGGAAAATATAACAGAAAAATAGTGACACATTCACAAGCACATGGAAATTAAACAATACGCTCCTGAACAGCCAATCGGTCAGTAAAGAAATTCAAAGGGAAATTCAAAAATATCTTGAGACAAACAAAAAATGGAAATACACTATATCAAAACTTATCAGATGCAGCAAAAGCAGTTCTAAGAGGGAAGTTCACATCAATAAACACCTACATCAGAAAAGAAGATCTTTTGAGCTGGGGCTGGAAAAAAAGGAAAGATAAGTTCTGAAATACACAATTTAGTGTTACACTTCAAGGAACTAGGTAAAGAAGAACAAACTAAGCATGGGTTAGCAGAAGGAAGAAAATAATATCAGAGCAAAAATAAATGAAATAGGGACTAGAAAAACAATAGTAAAGACCAATGAAATGAAGAGGTTTTTTTTTTTGTTTGTTTGTTTTTTGTTTTTTTTTTTTAAACAAAATGGACAAATCTATAGCTAGACTAAGGAGACAGAGAAGACTCAGATAAAGTCAGAAAAGAAAGATGAGGCATTATAACTGACACCACAGAAATAGGATAATAGGATCATAAAAGACTGCCATTATAAACAATTATATGCCAACGAATTAGATAACCTAGAAGAAATAAATTCCTAGCTACATATAACCTACCAAGACTGAATCATGAAGAAGCAGAACATCTGAATAGATGAATAATGAATAAGGAGATTAAATTAGAAATAAAAAGTTCCCCACCAAAGAAAAGCTGGGGACCTGATGGTTTCACTGCTGAATTCTACCAAACCTTTAAAGAGGTACTAATATGAATCCTTCTTAAACTCTTCCAAAAAATTGAAGAAGAGGGAGTATTTCCAAATTCATTTCATGAGGCTAGCATTTCTCTGATACCAAAGCCAGACAAGTAAGCTACAAGAAAAAGATAACAGGCCAATATCCCTGATGAGCATAGATGGAAAAATCCTCGACAAAATACTAACAAACCAAATGTAGCAGCACAATAAAAGATTATTCATCATGATCAAGTGGATTCATCCCAGGAATACAGGGATGGTTCAACATATGCAAATTGATAAATCTGATACATCACAACAGCAGAATGAAGGACAAAAACCCTATGATCATCTCAATATATGCAGAAGAAAACATTTGATAGAATTCAACATCCTTTCATGATAAAAATGCTCCACAAATAAGATATAAAATGCATGTACCTCAATACAATAAAGGCCGTCTATGACAACCCAAAACTAACATCATACCCAGTGGTGAAAACTTGAAAGCTTTTCCTCTAAGATCAGGAACAAGACAATGATGCCCACTTTTACCACTTCTGTTCAACATAGTACTGAAGTCCTTGCCAGAGGAATTAGACAAGATTAAAAGGAAGAAGTTAAATTGTCCTTGTTTGCAGACAACATGATCTTATATATAGAAAACTCCATCAAAGAACAGAATTTAAAAATTCAGCAAAGAACAGAATTTAAAAATTCAGTAAAGTTGAAGGATAAAAAAACATGCAAAATCAGTAGTGATTCTATACAAACTATAATTAATAAACTATCTAAAAAACAAGCTATCTAAAAAAGAAATCAAGAACATAATTCCGTTTATAATATCTACCAAAAAAAGTAGGAATAAATTTAACCAAGGAAGTGAAAGACCTGTATACTGACAATGATAAAACATTGATAAAAGAAATAGAAGACATGGAATATCTTCTATGAAGAAATGGAAAGGTATCTTGTGCTCACGGATCAGAAGAATTGTCAAACTGTCTATACCACCCAAAGTGATCTACAGATTCAGTACAATCCCTATTAAAATTCCAATGGGATTTTTCAGATAAATAGAAAACAAATTCTATAACTTATATGGAACCACAAAAGAGCCCAACTAGCCAAAACAGTCTTGAGCTACATGAACAAACCTGGAAGCTCACACTGTCTGACTTTAAAATATACTATAAAATGACAGAAATCAAAATGGCATGGTACTGGCAGAAAAACAGACACATAAACCAATTGAATGAAATAGCCCCAAAATAAATCTGTGCATTTGTAGTCAATTGACTTTTGACAGAAGTGCCAAGAACACACAATGTGAAAAGGACAGTATCTTTGATAAATGCTGTTAGGACAATAAGATATCTACAGGCAAAATAATGAAATTAGACTCATCTCACACTATGTACAAAAATCAACTAAAATTGGATTAAAGACTTAAATGTAAGACTTGAAACTATAAAACTACTGAAAAAAATATAGGGGAAAAGCTCCATGTCATTGGTCTGGGCAATGATTTTTTTGGATATGAACTTGAAAACACAAGCAACAAAAGCAAAAACAGATACATGAGATTACATCAAACTAAAAAGCTTTTGTACAGCCAATGAAACAATCAACAGAATGATGAGACATCTAATGGGATGGGAGAAAATATCTGCAAACCGTACATCTGATAAGGGGCTAATATCCAAAATGTATCAGGTACTCAATAGTAAGAAAACAAATAGCCTGATTAAAAAATGGGCAAAGGCTCTGAATAGATATTTGTCAAAAGAACAAATACAAATGGCCAACAGGTATATTTAAAAATGCCCTGCATCACTAATCATCAGAGAAATGCAAGTTAAAACCAAATATGGGTATTACCTCATGCTTGTTAGAGTGGCTGTTATTAAAAAAAAAAAAAAAAAAAGATAATCAGTGTTGGAGATGTGGAGAAAAGGAACCCCCGCACACTATTGGTAAGAATATAAATTAGTACAGCCATTATGGAAAACAGTATGGAAGTTCCTCAAAAAATTAAAAATAGAATTATCATCTAAACTAGCAATCCTACCACTGAGTCTATATCTACAGGAAAGGAAATCAGTATGTCAAAGAGATGTCTGCACTCCCATGGTCATTGCAGCACTATTCACAATAGCCAGTGTATGGAATCAACTTAAGTGTTCATCAACAGATAAATGGATAAAGAAAATGTGGTATGTAGCACGATGAAATATTGTTCAGCCTTTAAAAAGAAGGAAATCTTGTCACTTGGAGTAATATAGATGAACATGGAGGACATTATATTAAGTGAGATAAGCCAGGCACAGAAAGATCATGATCTCACTTATGTGTGGAGTATTAAAAACAAAAAAACGCTGAGCTCATAGAAGTTGAGAGTAGAATGGTAGTTACCAGGGGCTTCAGGAGTGAAGGGGTGTGGGTTGGGCAGGTGTTGGTCAAAGGATGCAAAATTCCAATTAGATAGGAGGAATAAGCTCAAGAGATCTATTGTTATATCATTGTGACTATAGTTAATAACAACATATTATACTGAAAATTGCTAAGAATAGATTTTAAGTGTTTTCAGTGTTCTCACCACAAAAATAAGTATGTGAGGTAATGAATATGTTAGCTCAATTTCACCATTCCACAAGGTATACATATTTCAAAACAATGTGTCATATACAATAAATACATATAATTTTTACTTATTAAAAACAAATGAATTAAAGAAGAATTATGACACAAATTATGTAGAAGTGATACATTTAGTAACACTGTCTCAAGTGATAGTTTGAAAGACAGAAAATCTGCCTAACAGATTGGGTCACTGGAAAAAGGTTTTGAGGTAGACTATTAACAGTGTGTGTTAGGGATTATATTGCTTGGTTTCCCCTTATATACTCCAGGTTTTCACCATAGGATCTTCCCTGTGTATTCTCTAGCCCAAGCAAATGAGAAACATGTGGAACATAACTGAACTCAACCTGTGGCCTGAATCCAAGACCAGTTGACCCAACCCATGTCTAATAGAGCCAACCTGCAGACCCATGAGTGAGAAAATAAAAGTTTGTTGTAAGCCACTGAGGTTTTGAAGTTGTTATGTACCAAAAAGTAGTTAATATACCTAGTATCTACTTGGCTTGTCCCTCATTTCCTTTGAATTCTTACTTAAGTATTTATCTTTTACTTTGGTAGCCTCTATCCAAAACTGCAATATCCACCTAAACTCTTTATTCCCCCTCCTGCTTTTTTACTCCTTAGGCACTTATCCCCATGTAACACATCATGTGTTTTACTTACCTTCTTTATTTTTTATCTCTCCCTGCCAGAATGTAAGATAACAAAGGGAAAGCTGTTGTCTCATTTTGTTCACTGCTCTATCCTCAGCACTCAGCCAGCGCCTGATAAGTAGTTGGAGCTCAATACATAGTTGATAATAAATTCATAAATTAAGCAGTCAGGTGATGTATGTTAGGCTACCACCTCTGTCACTAACAAGTTGTATGGCTTTTAAGAAATAATTTCATCTCTATGGATCTTAAGTATCCTCATCTATAAAGCAAGGATGTTAGAATAAGAAACCCTAAGGTTAAATAATTCTATGATTTAAAATATGTACATAGTTGGAAAATAAGTAACAGTGATGATAAAATAATGACATATCTGCAATTTTTTACCTGATTATTAGTCACAATAAGAACAGTACCTACACAGCATATCCACATATAAGCAAAAATATTCAGTCATACCTGAGAAGTTAACTTGAGAAGGTCAGTCAGAGAGTCAATGGATTCTGAACTGTCAGAGCCTCGGCTACTAAAAAAAATAATAATAATTTTGGTTTACACAATGTTTTGGTGGCATCTTAAAATTTCAGCTGTTGCTTTTATTCTCTTATTTGAATGGTTGAAAAGTTCTAATTATAAGAAGTGGCCAGGCGCAGTGGCTCACGTCTGTAATCCCAGCACTTTGGGAGGTCAGGGCAGGTGGATGACTGTCAAGTTCGAGACCAACTTGACCAACATGGTGAAACCCCGTCTCTACTAAAAATGCAAAAATTAGCTGGGCATGGTGGCACATGCCTGTAATCCCAGCTACTCAGGAGGCTGAGGCAGGAGAATCGCCTGGGCCCACGAGGCGGAGGTTTCAGTGAGCCAAGATTGTGCCATTGCACTCCAACCTGGGCAACAAAAGCGAAACACCATCTCGGAGCGGGGGTGGCAGAGGGGTGGTGGGGAAGAAGAAGAGGAGGAAGAATGTTTACAAAGGTGGTTTAGATATTTAGTAGTTCCAGACAACTTAGAGGGTTTTTGTTGAATGTGTGGAGAGATATAAAGGTTTGGGAATGTGTTAATGGAATGTAAGCTCCAGAAAAGTAGATTTTTTTTTTTCCGTCTGGCTCACTGCTCTATCACCAGAGTGGAAATAGTGCTCAGCATGTAGTAGGCACTCAGTAAGGTTTGTTAATATGTTAATGAATAAATGCGATATCAGGGGAGTTTCCTAGATGTCATGGGTATCAATAGCTCTTAAAATTCATTTATTTTTATATCACTATATCCATTCTACATAAAGCAATGCAGCACCATATGAAACATAGTACCTCAAGAAAAAAGGGTCAAACAAATCTATTTCTAATTATAATCATTTATTGCAATGGTAGGACATTTTTTTTTTTTTTTTGCTTGAGAGCCAATACAAGAAAGAAAACATTTCTGGGTTATATTTTTCATGTATTATTTTAAAATTAATATAATTTATGTTTTTAGAAAAGTTCTAGGTTTACAGAAAAATTGAGCAGGTAGTACAGAGTTCCCATACACATGCCCCCATTCCCCACATAGCTTCCTAAATTATAGTATGTAGTACATTTGTAAATTAGACATCTGATAGTATGTGGTACATTTGTTACAACTGATTAAACAACACTGATACATTATTAAAAATTATAGTTTACCTTAGGGTTGACTCTTGTGGTATATATTCTATGAGTTTTGACAACTGTATAATGATATATCTCCATCATTACAGTATCATAAATAGTAGTTTAACTGCCCTAAAATTCCTCTGTGCTCCATCTATTCATCCTTCCTTTTCCCAGAACTTCTGGCAACCCAGTGTCATATAGTTGGAATCATATAATATGTAGCCTTTTCAGACTTAACATTTTTCACTTAGCAATATGAATTAAAGCTCTGCCATATATTTTTATGGTTTGATAGCTCACTTAAAAAAATCACTGAATAACATTTCATTTTCTGAACGTATGTTTCTTTATCCATTCACCTACTGAAGGACATTTTGGTTACTTCCAGTTTTTGGCAATCATGAATAAAGCTGCTATATGAATGCAATCGCTAGATCAAGTGTTGAGTTCTTGTTGCTCCTCATCCTCACTGGCATTTGGTATTGTCAGTGCTTTGGATTTTAGCCATTATAATAGATGTGTCATGATATTTCACTGTTGTTTTAATCTGCAATTTCCTAATGAAAATGATGTCAAGCATCTTTTATTTTTATTTTTTTCACGTGTCAAGCATCTTTAGACTTACTAATTTTTTTCTTTCATGGATCATGATTTTGTCATATCTAAACAGTCATTACCAAATTCAAGAGAATTTAGATTTCCTCCTATGTTATCTCCTAGGAGTTTTATAGTTTTGTATTTTACACCTAGGTCTATAATTCATTTGGAGTTAATTTGTGTGAAAGGTGTAAAGTTGCTTCTAGTTCACATTTTTGCCTGTGGATGTCCGGTTGTTCCAGTAACATTTGTTGAAAAGACTTATTTCTCCATTTAACTAGGGATTTTTGTTGCTCTTTTTTCAAACACCATTGACTATATTTGTCAGCGGTGACAAATATGTTGGATATATTTCTGGGTTCTCTGTTTTGTTTTATTGGTCCATTTGTCTGTTCTTTAGTACTGTACTGTTTTAATTATGTAGCTTTATAGTAAGTCTTCAAGTCAAGTAGTGTAGGTCCTTAGATTTTGTCCTTCTTTGTTAGCTATTTCAGGTCTTTTGCACACCCATACAAATTTTAGAATTAGTTTGTCTGTAGCCACAAAATAACTTTCTGGGATTTTGACTGGAATTACATTGAGTCAAAAATCATGCCAGGAGGAACTGACATCTTAACAATATTGTCTTCCTGTCTATGAACACAAACTCTCTCTCCATTTATTTAGATCCTCTTTGATTTCTTTCCTCAGAGTTTGTAATTTTCCTCATATATATCTTACACATATTTTGTTAGCTTTACTCCAAGTATTTTAATTTTTTGTGCCAGTGTAGATGGTATTTTGTTTTTAATTTTAAATTCCAATTGTTCGTGGCTGGTATATTGAAAGGCAATTGTATATTAACCTTGTATATTTAAATCTTTCTATAATTATTAGTTTCAGGGTTTTAAAAAATTATTTGATATTTTCTACATTGGTAATCATGTCCAGTGTGAACAAAGATAAATATTTTAACTAAATTAAATTTAAAATACAACTTATCAATATTTGTAGAATAGTGCACAAGCAGTGCTTAGAGGGAAATTTATAGCATTGAATGCATATATCAGAAAAGAAGAAAGCTTTAAAATGAACAACCCAAGTGTCCACATTAGGAAATCAGAAAAAGGAGAAATAGAGATGTAATGCAAGCAGAAAAAAAGAAATAATTTAAAAATCAGAGAAACTGAAAACAGGGAATCAATAATCAATGAAAACAATGCTGCTGTTTTGAAAAGATCAATAAAATAGATAAATCCCTAGCCAGGTTAACCAAGAAAAAAGAAAGGACACAATCTGGTAACATCAGAAATAAAAGAGGGGTCATCACTACTGATGCTATTGAAATTAAAGAGAAAAAGAAGGAGTACTAACAACTGTGTCCTCACAAATTTTATAGCTTAGATGAAATAGACCAGCTTCTTGAAAGACACAATCTACCAGAACTCACAATGGGAGATATATAGCTCTAATAGATATATAGATCTACTAGATCTATTATCAATTAAAGAAATCAAATTGATAATTAGTGACCCTGCAAAACAAAGCACAAGTCCCAGATGGTGTATTGTGGATTCTACCAAACATTTAAGGAAAAAATAATACTAGTTTTCTAAAATTTGTTCCAGAAAATAGAAACAGAGAGAACACTTACTTTTTCTAAAAGGCTAGCATTATCCTAATACCAAAAGCAGACAAAGATACTGTCAGAAAGAAAAACTACACCAATATGTCTTAGGAACACAGGTGCAAAAATCTTTGAGAAAATATTAGCAAATTGAGTCCAACAAGGAATAAAAAGAATTATAAACCATGACCAAGTAGGATTTATTCTAGGTATGCCAGGCTGTTTAAACATTCAAAAATCAGTTGATGTAATCCATCACTTTAACAGGCTAAAGCAGAAAAAAAAATGTTATCAATAGGTGGAGAAAAAGCATTTGACAAAACCCAACACATATGCATGACAAAAACTCTCAGCTAACAAAGTAGAGGGAACCTTGTTCAACTTGGTATCTACAGAAACCTTATAGCTAACATCATACATAATGGTGAGAAACTAGATGCTTTCCTGCTTTGACTGAGGACAGGACAAGGATGTCTTCTCATAGCTCTTCCACTCAGTATCATACTGGAAGTTCTAGCTAATACAGTAAGACAAGTGCTATAATATGGTTTAGCCCTTATGCTTTGTCCGCACTCAAACTCATGTTGAAATTTGATTCCTAATGTGCCAGTGTTGGGACGTGGGGCCTAGTGGGAGATGTTTGGGTCATGGGGGTGGGTCCCTTATGAACGACCTGGTTCTCACTCTTGTGAAACTGGATTAGTTGTTGTGGTGATGGATTCGTTCCCACAAGAGTGGGTTATTATAAAGCAAAGATGCCCCTTGGATTTTTGCCTCTTCGCCTGTGTGCACTTCCCCTTTGACCTTCTCTGCCATGTTATGATGCAGCATGAAAAGCCCTCACCAGAAACTGAGCAGGTGCTACCATCGTGCTTGTACTTCCTTACCTGCAAAACCATGAGCTAAAGAAACCTCTTTTCTTTATAAATTACCCAGTTTTAGGTATTCTGTTGTAGCAACATTAAACAGAGTAAGATAATAAGAGAAGCAAATAAGAAGCTATACAGATTGATAAATAAGAAAACTCTCTGGGTTGTATTTTGGAAATAAACAAGCAAACATACAAATATATGTGTGCATGCATATTTTTATAACTACAGTAATATGTATACACACATATTTATGTTTTTAAGCATATTTTAATTGTCTACCATTAAATATTTTCCTTTTTTGGCTAAGAAACTACATAACTAGTTTATTATATTTACCATAGTATCTGAATGAATGTGCATCAGAAAATATTTTTTCATTAAACAAGATACCTTTTAAAGTTGCTTTATCTTTTTTATATTAATTATAAAATATTGCTTGTACTAGTGGCACTATTGTATTCTCTATAAGGAAATATTTTCCATTGCAAATCAGAAAATGTATCAATGCTTTTAAATCAAAGAAACTTCTACATTTCCTTATTTTGAAACACAATGCTCCTTTTTAAGCAGCAGCTATAAAAGGAATTTAAGTTTCATTTGGAAAATTTCTCCTCTGCACTCACAATTTAAGTTCCAATGGATTTTATTTTACTTTGCTTCTCAGACACAGCTACAAAGTACTTATAAAATGGCCCTCCAGGTAAATTTACTTATCTTTATTTCTGTGTTAGATCCAGCTTAAAGAGAGCCAAAGGCAAGAGAACACGCTGAGGTTAATTCACTGTAGGCCTTAAACTCCTCATTTGTAATATGG